GGGGGGGGGGGGGGGGGGGAATATGTAATGCCTTCATTTGATAGCAGGTTTTGATAAATTTGGTGGTAAGGCAGGTTCTAGTTGATTAGGGAAATAGATTGCACAAGGCAGGAGAGATATTTCAGTTTGCTGTGCCAAAATACATGAGGAATTTGGGTTACAACACAGGTAGGTGAAAGTCCCCACTCAAAATGCTCAGAGACAAATATGACACATTCAGTTCACCTACAAACAGCCCAGTGCAGGTCTCCAAGATGGGTGATATGATCGACTGCCCTTTGTCCTGAGCCAGAGCAATACTTTTTTCGTTCTTCAAATTCCTAAACTGTTCACCTTTCCCCACCTAGCTCTTAGCAAAGAAGACATTGCAAACACATCAGGAGATGCTGAAAACATCAAGGTATTGTAAAGGCATGACTAGAGGTTTTTAGTGGAGAGAGAAGAGCAGTTTGATACCACAGGATAGACTGGCCATCCTGAAAATGGGCTGTAGCTTTAGGAATCTCCATTTTGACTGCTTGGGAATAGCAAAGAGTGGCAGAGGTATTACAGAAAGAAAAAAGTGTTGTGATCTCTAGTGAGGAGTTGCTGCCAAGCCTATGGGTTTCTAAAGGAAGAGCTCTCCCAGTATCTTTAGATGCAAAACATGAGCTTAAAAAAGATAGAGCTTGTAGACACTGGGGGTACGTCAAGCTGTGGGCTGCAGTTGCAGGAGACAAAAGTCTAATTTGGAGTGAATATTCCAGCTTTGTGAAGTGTGTCTCGGAAACATTTTGTAGTGCATGCAAGTGAGAAATTTGTAGAAAGGAAGAGTTATTCCACATGTTGGAGGGCATGGGTAAAATTCAGGAAGTGGTCTTCTAAAATTCCCTTTTAAGGAGCAGTGTACATACAGTACAACAGTGCACAGAAAGCAGCCATGACCACAAATAGAGCAGAAGTTAGGTTTCTTGAGGATTCAGAGAGGGAGGCTAGTTTAATTTAATTCTGGATAATTTAAGACATTGAATACAAAAATAAGTTTTAAAAATATTTTGAGACATTTATGAAAAAAGAGCATGTTTTTGTTAAACATAACAATGAAGGATTTGGGCTGGAAATTAAAGATCAGTGCAAACAAAAGCAAAACATAGTGCTTGGGGTTTTTCTCTTCTTCTGTGGTCAATCTGCTGAGTGTCTTTTGTGTCTTGATTGTTATTTTCAAACTAAAGTGGCTGTGGGAGTCAAGCTCAATGCTATTCACAGCTCTGCTCATTTTTAGCTAGAAGAAATGTTAACCAAAGGGTAGGAGCAATGGAGGGGGGAGCCCTGTCTCTGTATGTGGTTCTTCTCCAGAGTTGCACCTATTGAACATGATCCACATTGTACCAAAATGCATTCAGAGTTATCCATTTCTGGCAATACTGTTGGAGTCGCAGTGTCCCACACAGGCAGGAAGGTCAGTGTTGAAGTCTCCTGGCCAAACACATACTTCTGCCTTCAGAGCAGTGTGGGTTCAGATCCAGGCTTTCAGATTATCTTCTCTGTTGGCTTTTTGAGTTTCCTGGGTGTGGAGGAAGCTCTCACACAATGGCTGACACTTGCTCTCCTCTGCTGCAGGGTTTTGGCTGGTGTGGACCATCATCATCATCCTCAGCTGCTGTTGTGTTTGCCATCACCGCCGCACCAAGCACCGCCTCCAGGCCCAACAGAGGCAGCACGAGATCAACCTCATTGCTTACCGGGAGGCCCATAACTACTCAGCCCTGCCCTTCTATTTCCGTATGTACCTCACACTGCTTTGCCTGGAGACCCTGGGGAGCAGGGCAGCAGCGAGTTTCCCGTGTTAGGTGGAAGGAGGGAGCAGTAATTGGGCTCTGCAAGAGGCTGTGGGCAGCTTTGCTGCCTAACCATGGTGTGCAGAGAGGAGATGGTGTTGGATGCATTTGAACTAGCTTGGGTTTGGAGTTGAACCACACCAACTACAGCACACCCACCCCTGAGAGTGTGGTGATTCCCTGGGTGTTTTCCTGCAAATGTTCTTAAAATACCTCATTCAGGACTTTGTGGATGTTCCTCCTTTCCAGCCTGAACTTGCTGCTGGTGGGACAGAGGTGTGGGAAGTGGCTTCACAAAATTTGGTCACACAGACTGGGAGAAAGTGGAGTCTCAGCAAAGACTGCTGCCTCCCGCCCTGTGCTCTGGTTCCCAGCCCACACTGCTGGTGAGCAACCCTTTGCATGGAGGGGCTGTTGCCCACAAGTCAGGGAAAGTACAATCACTTTGTGCTCTCCTTGTGTTCTGCTATGCTGTCCTAGAACAGCAAGTCTCCTTCTGACTGGAGGTACCACAGCTGAGTTTCCTCTGACAGACTGTTGAATTGCATGTATGAACTTGCTTTTCTTGTTAAACTCTGGCAGTCACCTCAGAAATCATCCCCAGCAGCCTTTTCCTCCCCAGCCCCAGGGATATACAATTACACATGGAAAATTGCAGTGCTATCCTTAAAAGTTTCCAGTGTTTAAGTACATTCTGTCTATACAGACTATTTTGTTGCCTCTTAAGAAATAAACAAAATTTTTCATGGATTTGAAAGGCTGTAAGTACAATAAGCCAAACTCTTTTGCCAGTACTGCCAATTTATTCTGACTGCACTAGAAGAATTGAAACCAGCATTAAAACAGCAACCAAAAGCCAGGATCTCTGAGTTCCTTGTAACTGCTCATGTCTCTTCATATTTGCACAGTGCTTTGTGAGATAAAATCTTTGCTCTTGAAAGTGAAAATTTGGCTGAGAAGGATGTGTTGGAGGGCTGGGGAGTTGTTCCCTCCAGCCAACACAGGCCATCCCCCAGTGTAGTTTATGAGGGTGTATTGGGGTCCATAGTCCAGGGAGGTTTGCCTGGTAAGCATAGAGAGAGCCAGGAGATCTGGCTGCTGTTCCCAGTTGTGTCCATCTCCTCCTGTAATGGTGCCCTCCTCTTCCATGTTTGCTGCTTCTATAAAACATGACACACCTCACCTGGGACAAGTTCTGGTGCCCCTTTATGTAGAGCCTGTTGTGTTGTTCAGTGGGAAGGTGCTGGTAGGTGACAAACGCCATACTGACCTGTATTAGTGACTTGTTTCCTGAGATAAGCTGCTCCTGAAAAAACTTCTCCTCCTTGCCTCCCACTTCTAGGGTTTTTGCCAAACTATTTGCTACCTCCCTATGAGGAAGTGGTGAACCGACCGCCGACCCCCCCACCCCCGTACAGTGCCTTACATCAGCAGTGTGTCCCAGCAGGCAGCAGTAGCACAATCCCGGACACGCCCAGGACCCTGCAGCCAGCACAGAGCAGCTCTGCAGCACCCAGCAGCAATAACAGCAGTACTGACAGCACTGGGGCGCCCGGCCGCGGGGACCCCGAGCCCTCCACCACCGTGCTGGGTGAGAGAGCCAAAATACAAAGCGTCGAGCCCGGCAGTACCAGCACAGGAGCTGAGCTAGTGGAGAGGGCTGGTCCCGATAAGGATATGGAGTGCAAGGAGGAACTGCTGAAAGGTTACAGCTCTGAGAGCTTAGAGCAGAGCAGTGCCATTCCCGACGCCAAGGACAAGACGCCGGGCAGGCAGCGCCGTTTCACTGGCGACTCGGGCATAGAAGTCTGCGTATGCAACCGGGGTCATCACGATGACGACCTCAAGGAGTTTGACGGGCTCATCGATGACGCTCTGGACGGGCCCCTGGACTTCTGTGACAGCTGCAGCGGCCGTCCCCACGGGGACGAGGAGGAAGGGCTTTTCAGTGCCACGGAGGAGCAGCACCGTGAACACAGCCACCACCACCTGCCCCGGCAGCCGGTGTGTGTACTCTTGAACACAATAAATGAGCAGGACTCTCCAAACTCTTGTACCAATAACTCCCCCAGCTAAGGTGGCAGAATGGAAGGGAGAATCAGGGGAAAAAAAACAAAAATGGAATAAGAGGATTAAAACTTTAACAGGAGGAAAAGGTGATACAACTTTCTTTTTTTGGTTTTTTTTCTTTCTCCCCTCCAATATAATATGGGGACTAGACCTCGAAGGCCCAGCTTGTGGGGGACGGGTCACTCTGAGTTTTGTTAATCGTATCTGCCCTGCTCCATGGAGCAGGGACTGATGTTTCTCAATGAGACCTTCTAAAAAATGGAATTTTTCCAATGGTGATTTTGGTGATGGTTATTATGAGTTTGTTGGTTTTAGTTTTCCGAAACACTGCTTTATCTTGCAATCAGTAAAAACTCAGCAAATCTCACCCTGGGAGGATACCAGATCACCATAAAGCTTCAACCTCCAGGTGTCTTCCCAGAAGCGAGCAGCTTCTGACAGTGCCGGCAGTCAGTAGCCCAAGAGTTCTGGTTTGATATAGTGCTCTTGAGGCATTGGGGATCTCTTTTCATCTTTTTCCTTTTTTTTTTTTTTTTTCCTTTCCTGATGTTTAGTTTCCCTGAAGCTGGTGAATGCCCAAACACATCAGCCCTATAATCTCTGGTGCTTCAGTGTTAAGACAGCAGGTAGGAAATTTCCCACTTGAAGCTGGTGACTGAAGGACCAGTTTCTTCTAGAAGGAGCGTTAGTCTACATTAGGCAGTTTGAAAAGAAAGGGTTTGCAGAAATTTGCCTTTATGTGTAATTTTTAAACGCAAGTGTGTTTCTTCAATGCCTCCAAGAGCACAGTTAGCAGTAGAATCCAGGCAGCTGGGCTGCCTTCCAAGTACTGTGGTCTCCGAATGACCTTTTCCTGGTGTGCTGCAAAAGGGCTTGGCTTTATTTTTGTCCTTTTTTTGCACCCCGATAGCAGCACACTGGAGTTCAGATGACAAAAGAACAGGGCTCTCCTTGGCCAGCGTGCCTTCAAGCTTTAGCGATGCATGTTGAACAAATGGAGATGAGAGCTCCGTCCATTGCAAAAGGGATGATGATTTACCTTGTAGATGTGGAAGACCTGTGCAGTATTTTTTTTTATCCAAAAGTTTGGTGCGATTCTAATGATGACCACTTAAAGTAATGAATGTCTGTTTTCTTTCTCTTTCTTTTCGGTTTTTTTTATGGTGGCAATTGGCTACTGTATAATGTCTGTGAGCGTGTGTGTGTGTGACTGCAATCCATGCATGCGAGTCCTACTGGTAATATGAAAACCTGCTGTAAGACTGCAAGAAAATTTACTGTAGCTTTGCTTTAATAAACAGTAGAGATTTTTGTTAGTAACAATCTGAAGGAAGAAAAAAAGAAAAAAAAAAAAAGGAAGAGCTGAAACTAACATTCCCTAGAGTGCTCGAGTGGAAGAGAGCACAGTTCAGACTAGGTAACTTGTTCTTGGGATTTCTCCCCGTCCCTTTTATAATTATGGTCGTCCAGATCATTACTGTTATGGGGAAAAAAACCATTGAAACCTGAACTCGGACATACTCAGATCTGATTGATTGAAAACCAAAATCAGTTTTAACTAAGGTGGAAACCAAAATATAATGCCTTTTCTGATAACTTGTCCATGTGTATGTGTATCATTTTGTGAGCTAAGAACAAGATCTGTCTAGTTTATGGATTTGTTTTCTTATTCTACCTGGAGGTGTGTTGGCACAGGCTGGCTGCAGAGCAAGGGAAGTGGTACTTATGCCAGTGTTTTACCTGCGTGTTTGAGGAAACCACTCTTACCTTACAGGGTTTGGAAGAATCTCACTCCTTTGCCCATCACAGCCTTTCTCTTTCCTCAGAACAGCTGATAAAGACAGCTCTTCAGTTTGTGTCTTAGGGTGCTCTTAGCAATGAAGGACTTTGATTTGGACTCAAGAGACCTCATTCCTGGATGTCTGGAGCCTGGATACCTGGATGAGTGGTAACAGAGAGGCTGTGCGTGCCCCAGAACCTAGGGGCTGGTCACTTCCAGCTGTGTACACTGACCACATGTGTCCTTTGAGAAGGTAATTAAAGATCCCCAGTGCCACCCCCAGGAATTCTGTACATATTGGCACCTGGTTTTGTTCCTTGTACCACAGAGGAAGCTAAAAAATCCCATCAGTCTGTAAGGAATGGAGTTTACTGCTCTAAGTCATGGGAATGGCCCTGTGCCAATGAGGGACCCTTTGCCAGTGTTTCTGTGGCATAAGAAATCTCCATATATTTGCTTTCCAGCCATCCCATTAAGGGCAGGGGAATCCTCTGGACATGGAGGTAAGTACCAGTAAGCTGAGCTAATGTTTCTAGTTTTAAAAAGTAAGGAAGAAGCAGTGGTGTGCCTCTTCTATGACTCCTAGAGGTTATTTGAGTATTTAGAGACCATATAGAAATAAATGGGGCACAAACCATGGTCTCTTCAGCTCACAAGTGCCTGAGGAGCAGGACTGTTAATGACTTTCAGTGATTTAGGATTTTAGGCCTGCAGCCAAGGGGCAGCTGGTGTGGGAAGGAGTGGTGCAGGGCAGGACATGGGGCAGGTGAGCTCTTTGGGCATACCTTGGCTGGTGCCTCTTCAGGCAGGCAGGGGACTCCCAAAGCTCCAGCTTTGAAGCTTTGGAAAGGTGTTTCACCCTCACATATACCCCTGTGTAGGAAGCCAGCATGGCCCAAAGAGAGCTCTTCTCCAAATGCATACAGTGTAAAATGCTGAAGGTGTGAGGACCTCACATGGAGATGCAGATGCGCATCTCTAGCACTGGAGCACCAAACCCCACCCATAAGGGGTGTTTTATTTGGAGTCATGAATACATCGTTTCAAAATTGAGTTACAATAATGCAGCAGGTTGAGAACAAATATATGGCAATCTACTGCTCCATGTTCTCCTTTACCATGTGCTCTAGGTGTGGCTGCCAGTACTCCTTTAAGTCTGCTTTTGCTGGAGTCCGTGGCAGTGTGGAGCTGCTTACGTGGAATGGTTTTTGCCACTGAAGCTGGCTCTGAGGGCAAGGACCTAGCAGGTGGGCTGGGGTTGTGTTGCCTGGGGACAGATGAAGAGCACAGTGTGGTGGCTCAGAGAGAGTGTCCCCTGGGCACAGCAGAGGCTCCTGTGATCGGTGGGGTACTGCAGCATCTCCTTGGTGTTCCCAAGGGACTCCTCAGCTCTGCAAGGATGCAAACTCATCATCTGGGAGCACTGGTGTGATCTTGCTGCATATGTTTGCATGTTTGTACATTCCTGTGGATGGGTGTTGGCTGAAGATTGAGGAGGAGGGAATTGTGACTTGATGCTTGCTGGCAGCCTGCTCTCAGAGCTTTGCCTGCCTAACTGGAGGCTAAGGAAAGCCAAGGTGCAGTTAAGCCTCTGTGTTACACAGTCATCAAAAGCCTCCTGGGGCAGGAAGCCTGGAGAGAAGCAGTATGAGCAGCTCCACTGCCAGCATGAGGCTGTTCTGCTGAGTGATGGGAGTTTTGGGCTCCTGGGCACCCCCCACCACTCGGGGATGTGAGTCAGTGGTTCTCAGTTCCTGCTCTGCACAGCCTGGGTTCCCACAGCCTTATCTCCTCTGGTTCTCTGCATGCCCTGGTTGGACTCATCCAGCCTGACCTGCTCCTGGCAGAGTTAGGCAGGGAGCTGGGGCACAGTCCAGCTGTCCTGAATGAGTAGTTCTCCTCAAAGGCTGCTGCTTCCTGGCCCCCCACCACCACCTGTTGAACACATCCCAGGGAGGCTTTTGCAGTTCTTTTTTTTTTTTTTTGGTTTATATAGGAAAAGCTTGGACCAGGCTGGGATGGGGGCAGACAGGCAGCCCTGGCTCAGGCAAGCCCCACAGCATCCAACAGTGGGCAGCCTGGGAAGGCCAGGATGAGTAGCCTCTTCATCAGAGCTGGTTCCCCCTATCCTTGCAGTCCAGATCTGTTTTTATCAGATGGGATGGGTGCCCGCTGCGGGGCCGTCGCGACGGTGGTGCAAGCACTGCAGTCTCTGTGCCGGGGGGGTCACAGGCTGCCGGCTTCTTTCTCGATTTGTTTTCAGCCGGCAAACAGCTGTGTCCTGAGGTCTGTGCTTACTCAGCTCTCCTGGCACCATGCCTGCTGCAGAGCCCGCAGGTATTCCAAGCGTCTCCTGCTCCTCCTGGACTGGCTGTCATTCTCCAGCACAGTCCAGGGTCAGCCGGTGCCTGGTGCAAAGAAGAGCCTCTCAAACTTGGAGGGCTTCTGAGCCCTCTGTGGTGCAGCTGGATCAGCCAGGTGCTGTGGGGGTGGCTGTGCCCCCCAAAATGAATTTGTATGATGGAAAGGCTCTGGCTTGCTCTGCCCAGTGCCCTCAGCAAGCTGCACATCTGCTTCATGGTGTACCCAAGAAACAGTGTGGGAACAGCCATGAATGAAAAACTTCATTCTTTCCATCATGACCAGTTCCTCCCTTGCAGAACCCCTTTCCTTAGGGAACTGGAGCCAGTGGCCCAGGTGAAGCCTTCTGATGGAGCCAGGGGTTTGGGTGCAGCAGCACAGCTCTGGAGCAGCTGTCAGGATAAGAATACCAGCCAGGTGATTCAGTGGTGCCTCTGCCCACTCCCAGAGCAGGGAGTAGCCATGCCAGGGGCTGTTTAACAGCTCACAAAGTCCCAGGCAGCTGGTTCTAGGCACTGAATTTCCCCAGCAGCATCTTCTCCTGGTGGGGAGGGGGTGGGCTGGGTGGGAGGCAAGACACCCTGCAGCAGGGCCCAGCTTGGGGTGCTGGGATTTGCAGCATGTGCTGGTCACCCAGCCTAGGACAGCACATGCCAGCCCTGTCAAATGAGGAAGGTGGATTGCAAGAGGCTGTGGCTGGAGGGATTCCCCAGGTTAGAAACAACCCTGGGTTAAAGGTCCCCATTTCTGCCCCAGGTGTATGCTGGCTTTTAGCAGTTGTGTGGGTGCATTGGCAAACAGTAAGGTGCCAGCCCTGTGTTGATTCTGGTAAGGAGAAAATCCTTTCCAAGAGCAAAATCAAATGCCTTGGCAAAGGGGCACAAATGTCCTGGAGGTCCTGTTGATGCTCCTGGAGGCATCACAATGCTATAGGACACTGGAGTGGAGCATCCCTGCCAGTGTGTGCTGCACAGGATCTGGGGCAGGGGAAGAACAAGGCTGGCATGGAGGTGCCAATCCCCAGGGAAGCCCAGAGCATCATATTTAGCCAAGTTTTCCCAAAGCCTGTTGTGAGTCCCATCCCCCTTCACCCATACAGCTTCAGTGTGTCCTAGCACAAGCGGAGGGACTGGAAACCCAGTAGCACCCCTGGTGTGATGGAAACAGACAGGAAAGCGGGAAGGTGTGTGGGGCTCTGCCCTTAGAAGCCATCAGAGACTCTCCAGCAGCAGTGGGTCTGGGCTCCTGCTGCGCTCCCTCTGCCCAGCTTCTGGTGGGTCAGCTGCTCAAATCAGCCTGAGGATTGCCCTTGGGACAGGTATGTGCATGGCATTTCTTCCTCCTGTGTAGCTCCCTAGCTCCTCCCTCCTAGGTAGCTCTCCCCTACCACCCTGAGCCCCCAGGAAAATGGACTGGGAGGAGGGAGGATGCTCCCAGTGCTGTGCCAGGCTGCAAATGCATTGCCTTCCTCATCACCCTCATGCCACAGGCTGACAGGACCTATTTGGCAGCGGATGCTGGTGTTGAAGGGGCTGCATGAAAGCCAAGTGCTGGGAGTTTGAAAGAATTCATACACACTGAGCAGGAGGTTCAGTGGTGGGGAAGTTCATGTCTGTTTTCCTGCCTGCTAGCAAGAGAGAGGGCAGGGGGAAAATGAGGGGGTGTGCAGGGCTGGGGTGTCACATTGTGCTGGGGCTCTGTGGGGCTTTCCAGTCTGCCTTGGCTGCTTTCCCTCCAGGGGCCCTGAGCCATAGCTGTGCAGCTATTTAGTTAAATATTAAGAGGTCAAGTAATAGAGAACCAGAAACCTAATTACACGCTGCCCTCCATGGCACAGTAGTTCTTGGCAAAAGCAAAGCAAACACGGCCCCTTGCGTTACAGGAAGGTTGTGCTGCTGCTGCTGGAACAATGGCCAAAATCCAGCCAGACAGTGAGTGCTTAGGACAGTGAGCAGGCAGGAGCTACTACGCTGCTGCAGAGACCACAGCCTCTCAGCTGAGCCCTGTGCTCCCAGCAAGTTGTGGGGCCACCATACATCTCACACTTAACCCTGTCCTCCATCTCCTGCCCAAAAAGTAGCTGGAGCCATACTGTATATGGAATAGCTTTATCTGGATAACCCCCATCCATGGGGCAGCCTCTCTGGTCCCATCCCCCACCCCCCCTGCCTGGGATCCAGAGCTCCTCCCCATCATGAGGCTGCTCTCCAGGCCTCCCTCAGCCTGGCCTTCACCTGAAATTTCTGCACCTGCAGCACGACACCAAACTTGCCCTCCAGCGAGGGCAGGGGCTGGTCCTCAGGGCACTCAAGTGTGAACCTCTGCAGCACCCAGGCCAGGAAAAGGAAGAGCTCCATCTTGGCCAGGACTTTTCCCAGGCAGACACGGATCCCAGCTCCGAAGGGGAGGTAGCTGGGTGAGGGCGAATGGATGTGCTGGCCCCGCTCATCCAAGAAGCG